TAATAATAATAATAATAATAATAATAATAATAAAGCCACCATCTCGTACTCGCTCCATATAGAACGAACATTTAAAGCAACTGTTATAGAAGCTTGAACTTTTTTTTATAATATTAGGATACTGTTACCGAATTGTAGAATATAATAGAGGTATGTTTCGATTGCTAGAAGTTTATTGTAAGTATTGTATATACATTTTTTTCCCGACCCATTTTAAAGACAATGATTTTATAGGGACATCTATTTAATATATTGTAGTTAGTTTCCTTTTAGACYGTATAGGTTACGTTGTGCGCCCTATACAGGTCATAGATTTTTTTGCATCTATTGATGGTTTTCACGGCGGCCATGTTGGAGGAACTTGACAAAAGAATTTCCAATGAATTCTTRTGTTATATCCTCCAACATGGCCGCCGTGTCTTGAAAACCATCAATACGTTTTAGTACTGCATAATAATAATAAAATTGTATAAATCGCTTATTCAGGTCTGTTCTAAGCGCTATAAACAATATGATATAATGATAAAGTTATAAACAAAAAGCTAGTTTAAAAATTAAGKTCTGATTTAAAGGAGGAGAGCCTGGGAATAGTTCTTATTGGTGATGATAGTGAAATCCACAGTTCTGGAGCAGCAACGGAACAAGATCAATAACTATAGGGTTTAAGGCGATATGGTGTGGGAATTAGCAGCAGTTAGATGAGGAACAAAGATTACGCCCTGGTTGATAGAGTGCAAACAATATATCCGTGAAACACTAATAACTAAATTGTTCAAAATGGTGCTAGTTAAACGAAAGAAAATAATAGAATTAGCATAAAATAGTGTAAGTTAGTATTACTAATATAGTATGGGTGAGATCGCCTCATTACCATTTCGAGCCAGAATGGAATTCTCGAATTTCGCTGTATGTGAGGAGAGTTGTAGAGCGGATGAATGAATGGACGGATGAATGAATGGAGCGAATTAATGAATGAATGAATGGATAAATGAACRAATTAATAAATGGATTTATATATGAGTTAATTCAGTAATAGATGGATGGATGTATGGATAAAGGAAGAAAGGAATGAAAGGTTGAAGGGATGGATGAATAAATAAATAAATAAATTGATTAATTAATTTCAGATGGAAGAAGGAACTAGTAAACTAAAATTAAGGATGGACTTGTGAGAGAATCATTGATTCAATCAAATGTGATCAAACGAATGAAGAAAAAAAAAGACACAAAACGAAATAGATCGTATAAATGATTTATATGCATTAATAGATTCCTATTCTTGCAACGTAAAAATCATCCTAATAAACATCGATATTTTTTTTCTTCTGCACTTACCATGTTTTCCTCTCAAAACGTCTAGCAATATATAGTAATAATAATCGAAGCTAGACCCCCCGGCGACCGCCTCCAGATTTTAATCTTTTTTAAACTCCTATGAATGAAAAACATATATAAAATCCATCCCATCTACAGCAATCCGTCTGCGTTTGGTAGTGTCCTTAGGGTATTAACATCCACACGTTAATACTGAAGCCGATGCTGTACCTCTCAATCTCTCTACTTCACGTTAAACATCATTTAGTTAGAACCACTACAAGATGTCAAATTAAGGACTATCTCAACGAGAAGGAAGCGTAATTGCCCTGCTAATATTAAACTAGTTAGTTGGATAGTAAGCGGCTGTCATTGGATCTCCTCGATCAGTTAGAGTAAGTAGCTTTCCATCGTAAGGCGCCATGAAGACTCKTTGAGTCGTTTTTACACTAGAAGCCCCTCATCTTCCAAACCATTTATTTCAACTCTGTCATTTAACCAACCTTTTCCCGAAAAAAAAAAGGTTTTGAAAATACAACCTAGTGAAACTTAATACTTAGACATAATTACGTATAAGTCAACCTTTTCTAAGCCAGTAAAAATCGTGTTTGGGTGTTATATTGTTTATAATAATTGTTCACAGTGCTTTATGAAGTAGACTTTATTTTTTGTTTTGACACTATAAGACAKTGCAATATAATTAAAGTTCATTTGCCAAAATCGTGGGGATCCTTACGAAACGGATGTTGAGTGAATTCACTTCTATTTTTATATTAGACTGGCAAATGTTTTGACTTTGGAGTCTTAATCATTTTGGACATTCAACATTAAGAAAATATATAAAGAGGAAGTTTAGACGTTTTTGCCGAACGACACGAGTGAAAAACGTAGGATCTGAAGAAGATAATTGACCTAAAAATCGGCTTAAGAATTATGCTTTTAAAATTCAAAATTGCTTGAGAACAAGATTGCTATCGTATTTATGTATCTATACTTGGGAATATTAAATTATTTTAAATAATACTCGAGGGAATGACTTGTGGTCTGAATAGGAAAACATTACGCACAAAGTAAAAGGACCTAGATAAGAAATAATATTCAAGGGAATGAAATGTGGCCTGAAATGGGAAAAACATTACATCCAAAGTAAAAGGATCTAGAAAAGAAATAATACTCAAGGGAATGACATGTGAAACTGGAAAAGCACTACGCCCAAAATAAAATAGTACGTGCTATTTGCATGTGGTTAAGCTTGCAGTTCACCCCTCTCCCGAAATATTTATCTTGTGCGCCACTTTTCTTCGCACCAAGAAAAACGACACATGGAGACGTAAAACCTTGTTTTCTGAAGTAATCTCCTTAGTAGCTAAATTTAGGACTTCCAAATAAACTTACTCACTGATGACGTTTAGTTCCTCTTTATCTTGAAAAGTTTGTTCTTTAAAAATATCTAATAACGTGTTTTATTTATATAAGTGGGATTATCCTTTCCTATCGTTGATTTTAAATACTCAAATTAGACCCTACGTAAGACGAAAGTGCGGTTTAATTTATTACTTCAGGTAACAAATCTACTTATCGTAAAAATATAATATGGTAGTTTTGTTCAAGGTATTTGTCCACTTGAGGGAGCTTCGAGCCATCGCCATACTGACCGTAGACAAATTTGAGTTTCTCAAGTAGCTTGATATCAAATTATAGTCAATGTTTTCTATGCCTCTAAGACTTTTTTTTAATGATTGCTGGTGTTACAGTCGAAATCTTGGTAAAAAATAGTTATTGTATGAGGAATGGATTGAAAATGAAAAGATGGAAGTCACTGTATGCTGATGTTGGTTTCCTTCTTTCCTTCCTTGCTTCCTTGCTTCCTTC